TTGTTTACGAAGAGACTGTGTAGCAATTATCAATATTTCGAATAAGAAATTTGAGCATAGTATATCTTTAAGGCATATATATCCGATGAATATACTTACCAAAGTCCTGTAAGTTCTGTGTGCGATATTTAATAATAATTGAAAGACCAACCCTATAAAGACGTTCGAAATAACAATGTGGCACATTCTGTTCGCTCTGAGCTCTAAATTTGATTCATTATCCCATATAACAGGTCCATAAGGATCATTGATTCCAATACATTTTTAGTGTTTAGGATTGAATACGGCTTGAGTCGGTCCTATGGAGCTTTAAAAATGTTGCATTTTCCTTTAATTAACATAACCATACTTGATAAAACCAAATCTGATTTTTATTTATCTTTGCATTTTCTCGCTGGCGGATCTGCGCTTTCGATATTTATCATGCCATTGTGTAAGTTGAATGTTGATTTAACAATAATTGACTTGCCTTAATAAATATTCACTTAAATTGTGATTACAGAATTTGCGTTACAGATAAATGGAAAAAGATCACCTAAAAAATCACACACAAAAATACAATTAAAAATATTAACAACGTTTCATACAAATCGCTGTTACAAGTTTTAACAATCAAATTGGATTTTTAACAAGACCTTTGTCTAACAAGAAACACAGGGACACAGCTTCACTATTTCACTTTTTATATTGTTTTAATTCTACGGGTTTTATTAATCTATATAAGGTTCTTTAATCCATTACTGCATGGGCATTTTGTGAAAAATGGCTATTTGCATTTAAAACCTTCTGTTACAAGTTCAAATTAATATGAAACTATAAAAAAGGCTTCAATACTGTTCAAACTTGACACACTTTAGCCTTTGTAACGGCATACTCAATCTTAAATTTCCCGTTACAATGACAACCAGGGGGCATCTCAAAATTGCCAAAAATCACTATTTTGCGTTGATTTTTTTATCAAACTTCTCTAACAAGAAACCCAGGAACATCTTCACTATAACTTTTTTACAATGTTATAATCCTACGGGTTTTATTAAGTTAAATAATGTTTTTTAATCCATTACTGCATGAGCATTTTGTGAAAAATGGCATTTAAAAACCTCCTGTTACAAGTTCAAATTAACATGAAACTATAAAAAGGCTTCAACACTGTTCATACTTGACACACTTTAGTCTTTGTTTTCAGTTTTTCAGTTTTCAGTTTTTTTATTAATTTTTTAACGGCATACTCTATCTTAAATTTCCCGTTACCATGGCAACGAGGGGCATCTCAAAATTGAAAAAAAAATCACTATTTTGCATTAATTTTTTTCCATCAAAACTGATTTCAAAGTGCTGTAACTTTTGAATTGATTGACATAGAGTCTTTTCAGCTTTGGTTACACGTTACCTTAAGGTCGACCTGAGGCTATTTTTGCCTTTCACAAGTCCAAAATTTTCTTGGAGACGAGGGGGTCTTCAAACCTCCAAGGATGCACATCCCCTCTGGCATCCCCTTGATGTATCTCTTTGAAAGGGGATGGCGCCGAAAAAGATATCAGTTTTTCAACAACATTTTTCAAACGAAAACAAGTGTAAGGGGTAGGGCATTTTTCACTATTGGAACTTAAAAGGGGGTGAAAAAGACGTCTATATGACTCAATGGGTTAAAATGTTGCAGTTTTAAGTAACAACACAAACAATATTTGTTAGTTAAGTTTATTGAACACGTAATTTTAAACAAATATGGCAACACTTTCTCAAAGTAAACATGTTATTATTCTCTAAATAAACTTCATGAAAATGTCACATGTTTGCAATTGGGTACAACGACATGTGTTCATATATTGTATGGAATTATATAATTATGTATTATATTATTTCTTTACTATTATTGTTTCAATTAGATGTAACGATACAGTCATAACTTTGTTAAGAAGTTGATTTAGTAAACAAGTTAACGACAACCAGCTAAACAAACATTTATTGTTTTATTACTATGACTAATAAATGTTTTGTGTAATTGCAGTAGTGTGCTAATTAGCATAATTTCCTTCAATGCCATGGTTATATAAGTCAAACAGTCAACTCTAAGGTCAATGCTCGCTACAGACACTTACGGCATTGATTTCTTTGTAATATATCATTTCTCTTTCTTTAACATTGCTCTTATGAAATACGATCTTAAACGCACACTATGTTCATATTTGAATGAAATACTTAAAATTTCAGAAATTAACTTAAAGATGGGAAACTGTTACAGATTATTTAAAACTTCTACGAGTTTTAAATTGTATAAGACACATTTCAAACATTTTTTATTATCAAAAGATATATTATAGATAATATACCTTTATTATGTATAATATCATGTCTGTCTTCTTTGTTTTTAAAATGAACTGAATGTTATAATCTTTATTTTTGCTTGTAATATGTCTATTTTTCCTGTTTATTGAGGGCCTTGTTGAAAATAAGATGTTGCATTATATGTCTTTTTCTGATAATTGATATATTGTCTTCATAAGCTACCTTCATTAAATTTTGAGTTTATCATTATTATTATTATTGTCATTATTATTAATTATTATTATTATTATTATTATCATTATTATTATTATTATCAAACATGTTTATTTCATATTAACAGAAAGACGGCCAAGCAGTTATCTTTAATTAATGTAAGAAAATTGTGCATAATATAAATCTTTGAACTATCTAAATCATAATTATACTAATTTCGGAGGGAGATTTTATAAAAGTTTTTTTATAGAAAGAGCATCGAAACACGAGGCTATCTGATTTGTACGAGGGGGGGGGGGCGTATTAATCAGATTGCCGAGTGTTTTGATGTTCTCTTTTGTATCATAGTCAAACATAAAAACACGTTCCCTGTTGTCACAATATGAAACCCCAGAAAAAAGTAACCAATGAACGAGCAACTGAATTTGATTTTTCTGTCGCATTCCTCTTGTCTCTCTGCCGTCACAGTTAGTAAACCCCAGCAAAAATGAGCCAATCACTGGGCATGCTCTGGAGTGTGGGTAACTAATATTTGCACTCCAGTGAACGCACTGTGCATGTATATGTATACGATTTAACTTTGACACATTTTCAACAGAAGGGGCCTCAAACTATGATACAAGATTGTTTTGATACAATTTAAGTTTCCTACACATCCGTCACATCCGTTAATCTCTGTGTATGTACTTTATTATGTTAATGAAAAGATTAGAAATAAAATAGTGCTTAAACTAAACATATTATGTATCACAAATGTAGTACTATGATTTTCTAGATCTACAAAGCTGTAATAGTTGCAGCATGAATGTACTCTGATATGTTCTCGATAGATTTCTGTCGTTGTTTTGTTATACCTTTGTTGTTGTTGATGATTTTTTTCTGTATTTGCTTTTTTTCTTTTTTCTGAGAGATATTATAAATTACATTATCCCTCATCAACAGACTCAATCAAACCGAGTCTGCAATTTTCATATGGTGTTGTTGTTTCCATTGATTCCGAGAGGTCAACCCTTTTCAAGTTTTTTTTTCTTTATTTTTAATTTAGTAAAGTGTCATACATTATGATTAGTAACGCATAGCACTTTGGAACTCAACAATTATAGATATCTACCGGTTGTCGTCAGTTCAATTTTTGCATACTGACTGATCATATAAAAGTCTGGAAACAAAGAGATCCCTCGGAAGCATTAACACAACAAAATTACATGAAAATTGCAGACACGGTTCGATTGAGTCTGCATATGAGGGATAATGAATAAGTGCAACATACCTCACGCCCCCTAGCACCGGCTTTGAGCGGTACTCAATTCAATGATTACGAGGAGTAAGCATGACCGTGGTATTGTGTATTATTACTGAAAAATTTATATAAATTCTAATGCATAATTTATTTTAACAAATTAATTTAACATCTTACTTGATTACTTGAATAAATACTCGTATATAACCACCCCCCCCTCGCCACCACCCCCTAGTCGTCTTATACTTAGACACTTGATACTATGTCAGATGATCATTATCTAAATACAAACCTGCCTCTAGACATCCTTTGTAGTAGTTTTAATCATAAAGTACCACATCAATGTCTGCCCAAAATTATTGCATAGTTATGTCGTTTATATTATAGATATTAAATAATCTTTTTACATTATTTTACAAATAGTTATAATTAAACCAAGCACAGACACGATTAATTACTATAACAATTTGTATATTATTCATGTTCTTTGTAATAAAACAAGTTTTCTCTCTTATTAAAATCGGTTTGTATAATCAGTTAAACTATTGAAATGTATTTTAAATAATTGAATAACTTGAAATATTATTCAACAAAATGCAACAAGTACATGTTCGTGTTAAAGTTAATGTGTATTTTTTTATGTTTTCAAATATGATATAATTTTCGTTAAACAAATGTCATTTGTCGTAAAATTCAAAGCAATCAGATTTTTTTTTCGTTGTTGTTGTTGTTTTTATTTTGACGCAATATCTATATTTTTAAAATTGTATTGGTCAATTTGATTGGTTAATCGTTGAGAGAATGATGTAGGAGCGACATGAAACAGCAAATACCAATAGTGTTGGCCTCGTGTTGTTGTTGTTTTTATTTAAATTGTATTGATCAATTTGATTGGTTAATCGTTGAGAGAATGATGTAGGAGCGACATGAAACAGCAAATATCAATAGTGTTTGCCTCGTGTTGTTGTTGTTTTTATTTAAATTGTATTGATCAATTTGATTGGTTAATCGTTGAGAGAATGATGTAGGAGCGACATGAAACAGCAAATATCAATAGTGTTGGCCTCGTGTTGTTGTTGTTTTTATTCAAATTGTATTGATCAATTTGATTGGTTAATCATTGAGAGAATGATGTAGGAGCGACATGAAACAGCAAATATCAATAGTGTTGACCTCGTGTTGTTGTTGTTTTTATTTAAATTGTATTGATCAATCTGATTGGTTAATCATTGAGAGGATGATGTAGGAGCGACATGAAACAGCAAATACCAATAGTGTTGGCCTCGTGTCAAACCACTACTTAACAATTTACGTCGGGAGATGAATCAAATAAAAGAGCAACAGTATCGCCTTCTTATTAGCTCACTGGAATTCTTGAATCGGGAAGTTTTGAAGGAGACAAGGTAGGGTGGCATTTTACATTTTCTTTATTTTCAGTATTTTATTTTATATTTTATTTTGTTTTACTATATATTACTTACGAAAAAATAACTATTTCCTGATTGTTTGATTTACATGATAATGTTTCGGGGTTTTTTTTTCAATACATAAATATTAGCTAATTCATTTTTTATTATTTAATGACCAATAAAATTGTACATAGATAATGTGTTTATTTAACACAACAACTTTTTCAAAGAAGATGATTATAAACCAACAAAAATATTTTAAGTTAGTATTTATAAGACAAAATGATTATATTTAACAGCCTCAATATTTGTAATTTCTATTTCTACGATTATTTAATAAAAACATTTAAGTAAAATGTTGTATAATTGATTTCTTTTCTGATTCACATAAAAACAATGGTTTACTTTTTAAATAAGCATATTAACACCACATTGCATTATATTCGAAATCAACTTTTGGTGAGAGTTTTATATCTTTAAATGGAGTTATATCTTCAGATGAGATGAAATGCTACAAACATAATCGCACATTTACATACCATTAACAAAACACTGTTTTAAGGATTCTTCATCTATAATTTATTTAGATAAGACATCATTGAATTTTGTTTTATGAAAGTTTCTGAAATGCTGGAATGTATGTAACATAGCCCAAACATATTTAGATTTTAATGTCTTAGTTTGTTAGATGAATGCTACAATATTGGTATGTCCTTAGTTGTTTAATTATTTTACGTTTTCACAACTTTTAAATTGACATGATCTCATCTATTCGATTGACTATTATAATGATGATTGACCAACAGTTGATATTGGAAATTGTTTAGGATGAAATTTAAATCTGCCTATTATTTAAAAGGACTGTCCCATTTTTTTTATAAATTGAACGATGAAGGTAAATTCCGATGGATATACAGAAACTTCTTTGAGTCGCGTGAGTTAATTATCATTCGTGCGAAATGAATTACAAAAATAAAACGAATCATTTCAAATTGTAAACTCATTTTGACTTTCACATGTCCGCTCGCTATATACCTTAGGATGGACATAATGTCATTTTAAGTATCCATTTAAATATAAAAAGATATGAAGCACATGCTTTAAAACTTTGTGAGGTTTGCACTTAACACTTTACATAAGAAAACAGATGTAACACAGCCAAGTTTAATTTAGTCTTGTTTATTAATTTTCAAAGAGTTCGCACTTTAGTGATCACAAAATGTTTCCACCTTTCGGTTCGCGAACCTTTTGGCTTTTTAAATCTATCTGTTGCCTGTACATGTTACTTTTTGTTTTTGCTAGATTGCTCTTTCTAGCACATATATTAAATGCGATAATTTTGTTCCACGCTGATATTGTTATACTATTTTTTCGTTCTAAGCCAAATCGATAAGGTATCGTAGCGTTTCTTTTGTTAATAAATAAAAAATAAAAAACGTTTATGAACACAAATGACAAAAATTTATTTTGAGAAAAAGAATTTAAAGTATGTATGTGGCATAATGTGAAATTTAAACATTTTTATCTGATTTATAGTGTATGACTGTTGTTGAAAATTCAGAAAAGATATCACATTTCAGACGAAATAGTTGAAAGTGCAAATATTGGTAAAGAAACCATTGCCTTTCATGTTGTCTTAATGTTTCTAAAATTAGAGAGAAAAAATATTGAAGAAATCAATGCTTTTCATGTTATGTTAATGTATCTGATATAAGTCTTAATAGCGTGTTAAATCAATTATACTTAGTTTTGTTATCTTAGTTAATCTTTATGGAAAATGGTTGGTTATAAATTGGACAATATTTATTTATAATTTACGTTTTAAAGTTAAAATTGCACAAGATGCTTCAGTATTTGGTAATAGTAAGAGGGTGAAAATTTGAAAACAAAGTGATCCCTCGGAAGCATTAATCACAACAAAATAACATGAAAATTGCAGACTCGGTTTGATTGAGTCTGTGAGTTATTTCATGACGTAACCATCAGTCCAATATTTGTATGTAAGATTAACTTCTTATTAATGTTGTTTTAAGTTTTTATTTCGTGAATATAATTTGATATTTTAATTCCATGCATACAATGTATCTATTTCTACTTACAAGTTTTTGAAACTATAACAAGAAGCCGTACAAGGCAACAAAACATATTTTGACTGGACAAATTAATCTGCCGCCAAATTCTATATTATTTCGTTTTTTCAATAGCGTAAAAAATTACTGTTGCCTCTTCAATACCTGGCAAATTGTTTTAACAAAACATCAGTGGTGAAATGTGGTAAAATGATTAATCGATCAAAGGGATAATTTTACACGACATCCACGTTCTCCGTTGAACATCTTAATGTGTTGATCGTGGTGCTTTTAAAATGGCATGAATTTGGTGATCAATGTATTGAAATTGAGAACTCTTCAATTCATGGTCTGGTTGGTTGGTTTACGCCAATAAATCATGAATTTTGCTTTTATTATTATTATTATTATTATTATTATTATCTTTTTTATATTCTGTTAGCTTTGCAAATGTATCAGTATGGTTAATTTTCAGGACGCTATCCATCAAATGTATTAGGTTTTGTATACATGTAATATCGCACACACGTGCTTTAAATATCATTAAGTTTCTAAAAAAGTTTTGTTTTTTTTTTGTATTTTTTGCATATCAGTTTATAAAATTGTATTTTTTTTACGTATCAACGATTTTTCTAATTAGATTATAAGATTATACATAGTCTAATAATAAAGAGGTGAGATAAAAAATAAAAATTAGCTGAGGGTAATGCGGTGTTGATAAAAGATAAATTGTCGACATTTTTGCAATAATACATAGGGGTTTGAAAATAATGCCATGCTTATTGTTTGTGACATCTGATATATTGAAAACTTATATCAATAAAAAAGGAAGTATTGTCTTTTATGGCTGACGGAACGTAATTTGAATGTTCAGAGAAATTAGTTTCTTAAGTTAATCGTATTTATCCTAAATATTACAAACAATTTTGCATTGTAGAATAATACATTTTAATATACTATAAGTCTGCCTTTGCAGAATTCCCAATTTGCCTATCTCACAGCTTAAAAAGTTTTAAACAATTTTCCTCTCCCGTTCATTTTTTGCCATCGAAGTACCAATTTATAAAAGTAATTTATATAAATGTTTTACGCATATAACGTTGCATGACACACTTTACGAGAAATGAATGTCATATCAAAATGTTAAATTTCTTTAAAGATATACTAACCGAATAAGTGGGCATTTAAAAATAATTGTATAGTAATAAGAAACTGATATGAAAAAATGAAAGCGTAAAAGTTTAAGTTTAATTTATTTCCAATTGACGTGTTAAATTAATAAATGTTGATAAGTTATTACTATAACAGGCACATTATCCGTCAGAAATGAAAAAAAAAATTCCATCTTTTGAAAGGGCAGACACGAGTTTTAAGATGTATAATAATGATTTAAGAGTATGTTAGACACTTATCACATGAAAACATAGCCACTGAATGTGAAATTATTTGTCAAAAAAGTAGCAAAATGTTAACTTCCATACAAAATAACAAATCATTATTACTATACTAACTAACAAAAGCAAGAGACGCAAAAACATTTTTATCTGATTTATAGTGTATGACTATTGTTGAAAATTCAGAAGAGATATCACATATCAGACGAAATAGATGAGAGTGCAAATATGGAAGATATCGTTTAGTGTATTCGGTGTCATATTTTTATAGCCGTTTGTTCCTTGACAAATGTAACTTCACAAATGTAACAAACTGATACCTTTTACAACATCGAGTTAAGATAATATAAAGCTGGCCAGAGGCTCCCAAAATATAAAATTATTATAAGTTTAAAAACTCTGTATTGAAAATATACTCATTCAAAATCCTCTATATATCTCAACTACATGTATTTGTAAATATCATAGCAAATCAACCATGTCCTGGTGGCAAGGGTTTCTGCCTCTACACCAAGGGCTTGTTGGTCTGAGACCTTGTACTGATTATTTCCAGAGAGCAGACCCGACAGGAGTTTATATAAACTACAAATGTTATTCAAATTCATGGTTTGAATTATAAAATGTTCATCTTATGGTAGAAAGTAGGACGAGTATCGTATACAAGTTACATACCTCATACAAAAAGTAACGGAAATGTTTCCCTAACAGGCAATTATATTTAATAAACGTCTAGTTATTTGTCAATGTCATTTTGAATTTCGATTGGTATCCAAAACGGAATGTTATACTTTTTGGAAAGTTTTACTGCTGTAAGTAATCTTCCTTAATTGGTATGCGAAGGCCGACTTGACATTAAAAGAAAACCTTCTTTAATTTTACTGAGAAAATAACCATAAGTTTCTGTTTTGAACTTGTAACCGAAACTTCTGATCATATAATTTGAATAAAAAGCAGGACAAAATTGCACTGAAACGAAGCTAGATTTCGGCGTTTATCATATATATTTACACTTCAATGACAGTATCATCTAGTGAATTGGATAAGATAATTATGTAATGCAACTATCAGACTGATAATAGATCAGGGCAAATTTATTGTATTTCATAAGATAATTGCAGTATAGCTTCGTTTATACTGCGTTCCACTTTTTGTTTTTCGTAGAAAAGAAATCGGTTAGGTCATGCTTCCAATGTGCTAGTTCGATGTCATTTTGCAGTTATGTTTTGATTAAGAAATAAACGGGCCGTCTTTGCATTTCTCTATTTTTTCTTTTGTTTACATGACGTTGCATATTAAAACACGTTAACATCAAACGTGTGTGTCCGCGTTATTGAATAGTACGTTATTGCTTGTGCAGTTTTTATGTAAGAATAACTGTTACAAAATTTTCTATAATAGATAACAAAAATGTATGTCTACAGAAAAAAACACAATTATGCAGATTACCTTATAATTGTTTTCTGCTGGACAACGTCGTATGTCGGTTCATTAATGTTTATTGTGTGCTCCGCACATAGGTCATTGCTAAACG